CACACACACACACACACACACACACACACACACACTTGCATTCACTCACTCCTGGGAGCAAACCCTGGACTGTCAATATGTTTGGTCCTTCTTCAGATAGGAGACTAATCCAGAGGGAATGCTGCAAGCTGTGTCTCTCGCGCACACACACCATTGCATGTATACACACATCTTGTCCACTTTTGAATCTCTTGCCTTCATACCAGCAGCCAGTAGCTCCAGCCATTGGCTTTGTGACACACACACACACACACAAAGCTTGAGGGATTGTCATATTTCCATGCTCTTCCTGCTGTTCTCTTTGCCTTTCATCTGTAAGCATTTTTTGCCTTGTTGTCCGTGATCCTCATTACATCTCGACTAATCTGTAAATTCTCTTTCTTTGTACTTATTATGCTGTAAACACCTTGTTAACCTTAAAGAAGTATAGCAAATACTATCTGTGGGATTTCAGCACGGATAACTGATGTGACAGTTATCTGACAGATAAGATGCTTATATGATACCTGCCAGTATTAATTTGAACAGTGCCGATATGTGAAGGAGAATGTGTGTTTTTAGACTGGCAGGCAACACAAAGAGAAGCTTTAGAGATAATAAAAATAGATGATTTATTATATGATATTTAGACTAATAATTTACTGACTTCATATCATTTTTTTTTATATTTGTCTGTTGGTAATTAATGCCATCAGGCCGATTGTGGATATTTTTGTTGACTAATTTAAGCCGAAGTTAATAATAGCTTAGAAAAAATGTGCAAGCTACTTGTTTAAACCTTCTAACGGTCCTGTGGAACCATTCATCCTCTTTTCTGGACATGTTCACTTCCTACAGAGAAGGTTCAAAATAATTTGGCCTGAAATAGGATTTGGTATTAACAAGCAACCTCATTATGGCCGTGTGAAATACAAGACGTGCCAGTGACAGATGTTTGATAACTGATACAGATGGATTTTGCTAAAAATGAATGTGTGTATGAATTTAACCCAGACCGGTGAATTAACATCAATGTTTTTTCTCCTCTGTCCCTCAGTACCCCAATAAGAGTGTAGCGCTGGTGGCGTCAGACATCCTGCACCTTCTGATCAGTTACGTTGATCATCTGCAGAAATTCCCACCCGACACGCCAAAGAAGATCGTAGAGGTGAGACATAAAATACAGAGAACATTTGAGCAACATTAATATTTTAATATTTCTGAATATTGGTTAAGACTGCTATTGCTTTGCCATAACACATGACTGAAGTCATGCTGTGTAAAGCCAAGGCCTCACAGTGCTGGTAGACATTAACAAATTTTTTATAGAGGTTTTAAAAACTGTGGCGGCTTCACGGTGTCGCATAACTTCAGAGGGATTAATGCTCATTTTAATCTTACTCTCTTCTTTCAGATTTTGATTGCCACCATCACATACTTGCTGCCTACTACTGAGTCTTCACCTCATGAACTGGATAAAAGGGTAAGCTGCTCACATTCACTTAACAACACTTTTTTAAAAACTCGCTGGATTGTTAGGTTTTAAAAATTGTACTTGTGTGTTGCAGCTGGTAGTTTCCCTCCTGTTGTGTCTGTTGGATTGGGTGATGGCACTG